TTTTTCCTCTCCTTTTTTTTTTTTTTTTTTTTTTTTTTGCTTTATGTGTGTTAATTCTCTCTCTCTAAAGCACACAGAAATCTCATGTTGCATTTTCCAAGTTTTACAAGTGATGATACTTTTTCCATTACCACTGCAACCCTACTTTACGAGGCAGAATTTGAACCTCAGTCATTGTCAGAAGAGAGTAAAGTGTGTGGTTATGGGCAGGAAAAGAGGCTGCATAAAAAAGGAATGACCTCATGGCTCGGCAGTCTTCTCCATCAACAGCTCCGTATCCAGTTTGCAAGTCAAACGGCATTTTCTAACTGCAGGCACTGGGGCCTCTCAAAGACACAGCCCTCTTTCTGCTTCAGACACCACTCAGCCCTAAATGTGTAAGGTCCATTCCCTGCAGATGCGGACGACGATGTCTGCCCTTCTTCCTTCACTTAGGGCTGTTGAAACACTTTCAGAATTTCTTGTTGAAACTAAAAATCAAGACTAAGAACAACTTCCAGGCATGAACTAAACTTCTGCCTCATAACTTTTGGTGAGATGCTGTGAGGAGGCAGCCTCCTGGTTAGAGTCTTTATGTTGTTTTTGGTAGGGAATGTCCTTCTGTTGTGATTGTGTTCAGTGTTGGGTGGCAGCTCTTCACTTCTTACACAACCTTCGCTTTGCTGTAAATATCAAGGGGGTCGGGTTATGTTCCTCATTGCTACGGAGTTTTGCTGGATTATTTATCTCTACCACTAGTAAATTGTTTTCTATGCCGTATTTTTTAAAATAGATTTTATTTTTTAGGCGGCTTAGATTTCTAGAAAAACAAAAAAGATCAGAACCTATAGAGATGACCTTTACATGCCCTCCCTCAGTTTCCCCTGTTATTAACATCTTGCACTGGTGTGGTACCTTTGTTAAAATCGATGAGCCAGCATTGATACGTTATTATTAATTAAAGTCCATTGTTTACTTAGGGGTCATGCTTTGTGACGTACAATAGGCATAATATCGCGTATCCACTGTTACAGTATCATACAGAATAGTTTTGTTGCCCTAAAAGTCCTCTGTGCTCCACCTAATCATCCTTCCCTCCACCGTAACCCCTGGCAACCACTGATTTTTCTACTGTCTCCATAGTTTGCCTTTTCCAGGATGTTATATAGTTGGAATCACACAGTCTATAGCCTTTTCAGACCAGCTTCTTTCAGTTAGCAATATGCATTTAAGGTTCCTCCATGTAGTTTTGTAGCTTGATAGCTCATTTCTTTTTATCCTAATCCTCCACTGGATGGATGTACCCTAGTTTGTTTATCCATTCACTTATTGAAGGACATCTGCTTGATTCCAGTTTTTGGCAATTATTAATAGGGCTGTTGCAAACACTCGTGTGCAGATTTTGTGTGGACATAGGTTTTCAACATACCAGGGTAAATGCCTGGGAGCGTGATTGTTGGTTACACGGTCAGCCTGTGTCTAGCCTTGTGAGAAACGGCCAGACTGTCTCAGACTGCCATAACTAAACACCATAGAGCTGGGGCTTAAAAACATCCGACATTTACTTTTCAAAGTTCTGGAGGCCAAAGTCAAGGTGCTGCTTCCTGTTTCACAGGTGGCTGTCCTCTCACTGTGTCCTCACATGGTACCAGGGGGCAAGGTTGCTCCCTGGGGTCTCCTGTAAGGGCACTGATCCCGTTCACCTCCCAAAGGCCCCACCTCTATACCATTACACTGGGGGCTAGGTTTCAGCGTATGAATTTGGGTTAGGGAGAATACATATTCAGTCTATAGCACTTTGGAGGGGACATATTCAATCTGTAGCGCTATCTTCCAACGTGGCTGCACCATTTTGCTTTCCCATCAGCAGTGTACGGAGTTCTTATTCTGCAGCCTCACCAACATTTGATGTTGTCAGTGTTTTGGATGTGCCATAGTTTTAAACTCTAGCATTTTCTTTTAAAGGTGGGGAAATTGGAAAGTGTGCACTGTTTTTTTGTTTTTATAATAAATTTATTTTTGGCTGCGTTGGGTCTTTGTTGCTGCATGTGGGCTTTCTCTAGTTGCAGCGAGCGGGGTCTACTCTTCGTTGCAGTGCACAGACTTCTCATTGCAGTGGCTTATCATTGTGGAACACAGGCTCTAGGCGCATGGGCTCAGTAGTTGTGGCTCGTGGGCTTAGAGAGCAGGCTCAGTAGTTGTGGCACACGAGCTTAGTTGCTCCACGGCATGTGGGATCTTCCCAGACCAGGGCTCGAACCTATGTCCCCTGCATTGGCAGGTGAATTCTTAACCACTGCGCCACCAGGGAAGCCCCCAAGCCCTTCATTTGTCATTAAACTTGCTGTGTGACTGAGAGCAAGTTACCTACCTTCTCTGTGCTTTAGTCTCCTTATCTATAAAATGTAGATTATACTGAGCTCACAGCACTGTTGTGAAGGGGTGTGTAAACCCAAGCCCTTCATTTGTCATTAAACTTGCTGTGTGGCTGAGAGCAAGTTACCTACCTTCTCTGTGCTTTAGTTTCCTTATCTATAAAATGTAGATTATACCGAGCTCACAGCACTGTTGTGAAGGTGTGTGTAAATCACTTTTACATGTGTCTGGCACATGGTAGGCCCCAAATGATTGTTGCTGGGAAGAGCAGTAAGTTCCTACTCATATCCATTAGTTGCCTCTTTAAAATTTTACATATTTTTATTATTTTTATTTTTTTCTTGTTTTTGGCCACACCACACGGCTTGTGGGATCTTAGTTCCCCGACCAGGAATTGAACCTAGGCCCTCGGCAGTGAAAGTGCAGAGTCCTAACCACTGGACTGCCAGGGAATTCCCTGTATACTTTTAGAATAGCTTTAGATCCACAGAAAAATTGCAAAGACAATACAAAGAGTTCCCATACACCTGCACCCTGTTTCCTTTATTATTAACATCTTACATGAATATGACACATTGGTTACAATTAGTGAACCAACACTGAGATGTTATTAACCAAACTCTATCCTTTATTCAGATTCCCTTAGTGTTTTTCCTAATGTCCTTTTTCTGTTCCAGGATCCCATCCAGGACACCCTATGACATGGAGTCATCTTGTCTCCTTAGGCTCCTTCTGGCTGGGACGGTTGACCAGTTGCTTTTGATTACATTGACATTTAATTTTGATGTAGTCCATGGCATCTCTATTATAGGATTCTTAGGTCAACACTATTCCAAAACTAGTGTGGGTTTCCCAGTAGTAGCCCCTGAGCTGGGTGTGTGGTAGCCTCCCGAAGACCTTGAAACCGAAGTCGACCCTACTGAGGTTCCCTTATGTGACGCCTGCTCTTCTGCTAGAAGACTGACCCAGGCTGCTGAGAACCATGTCCTGCCCACTTCGTCCTCACCTAACTTCTGGTAACAAATGCCTGATTGAAAATCGCTGATTGGGCCGATATCGTCGCCTGGGCAGTGAACAACCTCAGGAGTGTGGGAGGTGGGAAAACGAGGGTGCCCCATGTTTTTCCGACAGTCCGCGCAGACTGCCGACGGCTCCCGGCGGCTCCGAGCTGGCGGTGTGCCATCTCAGCATGTTAGCTGTTAGCTGAGCTGTTGCGGTTTCCCTGAATATTAAGAACTCTCACTGTTTCGGCTAGCGTTTCCTCCTTGACATCACCAATGAAAATGCATCTCGGGCGGGGGTTTTAGTTTCCTGATGCCAAATCAAAGCTGGTTTATCAGCAAGCTGCCCTCACCAGACAAGGGCAGGCTGTGTGCTCTGGCTGCAAAGCTTCCCTTTTGAAATTGGCTCTTTTCTAAGAACTGAAAATAAGCACCCTGGGCTGTGACTTCACTTTTCTTGGAACTGCTTTACATTATAAGAAAAAAAAAAAAAAAAAAACCCTCATTTAGCTAGTTTTGGATCACTGAGTTCCCTAATTCTTTCTGTTGCCTATTCTTGTAAAGCTGAAGTTTTACCGCAAAATTCTTATGCATCAGGTGAAGCAGGAAGGAGAAGGAATGACCACATGAAAAAGTCGAGTGTTTTGTCTCCTGGCCTGTTGTGTGTGATTTAATGGTGAGACGGCAAAGAACCTGGAGAACACACCGCGGACAGAATCATCTTCAAACCCCAGTTGCGACTGCACGGCCCTGAAATCCGCTGGGCCACCAAATGGGCTAGGCTGGTGTTACTAAACCTCAGGCCATGGTCCAAATTCACTGAGCAGCTGCCTGTGTGTCAGGATGAGGGGAAAACACACATCCTCGGCCATAGTGACCTACATTTAGCAGACATCGTGGAGCCTGTGCAAAGGATGACTTTCAGGGGCCCCTGCCTGCTGAGGATGAGGGAGAGAGAGGCTTAGTCACACCTGAGCAGTCCTGGTCCTGCTTTTGCCTATCTGACCTTGGGCTTTTTTTTTTTTTTTTTTTTTTGCGGTCCGCGGGCTTCTCACTGTTGCGGCCTCTCCCGTTGCGGAGCACAGGCTCCGGACGCTCAGGCTCAGCAGCCATGGCTTCACGGGCCCAGCCGCTCCGCGGCACGTGGGATCTTCCCGGACCGGGGCACGAACCCGTGTCCCCTGCATCGGCAGGCGGACTCTCAACCACTGCGCCACCAGGGAAGCCCTGACCTTGGGCTTGGAGGTCAGTCTGTGAAGTGGATGGTACGTGGTAGGGTCATGGAAACTGGATTAGATGCCCCTTCCCAGTGCGGTTTGTAGACAGACACATAAATTGTTCTGAAATGTCTGTTAGTATCTCTGTCCCTGTCGGAGGGGCCTCCGGTGATGTGACTGTATCTTATTTATCTGTCTCCGTACATGCATAGCACACACGGCAGTCAGTAAATGTTCCGTGAATGGCTGGTTTTTAGGTAGGAAGGCAGAGGAAACACAC